ATCTTGTACAAACTTGTCTTATACATATATGTTCAGAAATAATACGAGGAAAATGCTTTAAAAAAATCGAATTCAAATTCAGAATGACTGAAGGTATAACACAAGTAGACTATTATTAACTATAAATGTTCTGTAAAAACAACAGCAGCTTTCAGCCTGTCCCCATGATGCAAACATGAAATATCAGACATACAGTAGTAGTTCTTTAAAGTTTTTTTTTATTCGCTTGAACTGCTTTTCCAATGTTTTTCCATTGTTCATGCATGAAACGGCAGTCTAAAAACGCAGCGCTCAAGTTAAAAAGTTAACTCCCATGTTCTTGCATGTTTTTCCTATTCCACTGCCCGTGTCGCATCTTTGTCAACACAAAAGTGCATTCTGTGTGAATGGCGCCTAGCGATATGAGTGCGTCACACGTGAGCGGTTAATCACGTGCGCCGACATGCGGTCAGATCGTTCTTTTCTCTTTACTGTTATCATTGGAATATTATCAAAGTGTCTAATTCTAACGTTTGGTAATATTTCTATTCAAAATCGCGATTCCTCGATTTCTAAAAAATAAAATTGTAGCAAAACATTACATTCGAATTAATCGATAAAATCGGAAAAATCGCCCAGCCCTAATATTTAGTTGCAGATTAAAATGTTCATAGATTTTTAGATTTTTATTGACTTCTTTGTTTAGTTGGGAATAATAACATTGAGAGAAATTCCACAAACTGCGACCAGCTCGAATGGCTTTTTCCAAAACGGCTGTCAGTATTTAAAGTCAGGCTTTCCACCGGTCTCTTGTAGATGATGCTGAAGCTAAACCACAGCGGCGCAATCGCAGCCGCCGGCGCCGTTTCCGGCCTCCTGAGGAGAGGCAGCCAGGTACCGGTATGAATTAACACTGGGTTTGTGTTCAAGCGAGTGTTAGTCCAAACTGCATGGCACTGATCGCCTGGAATAACATCAGGACTTCAAACTAAACCCACATGATCAGTCAAACATGCCAGATCACAACAGCCTAAGGCAAATAAAGAAAGTTATTTGTAGAGCCCGACCGATATGGGTTTTTGGGGGCCAATGCCGATACCGATATTAGGGTGTAAAAAAACTGTGATATCGGTATATCGGCCGATATTATTTGTGTATATTATAGTACAGTACCAGTCTAAAGTTTAGACATACTTCCCATTCGTATGTCCAAAACTTTTGACTGTTACTGTATATAGAATACATTATATACATAAACAATTTATATATATATATATATATATATATATATATAAATGACAAATTCCGCAAAATTCCACGTTATACAGTAAATTCCGTTTTTATGACTGGATTCCATGATTCTGTCTGCGTTTTCTGCATCACCAAAATCACACTAAGTATGATAAGCTCATTGTGAGAGTAAAAGACGGGGACATTATTTACTTTATAGCATTGAGTCTCATCAACTAGGTGACAATGTAGCGTTAAATCACTATTCAACAGACTCAAGCCACCACCGCACTGCCGTCTATTGAACTGTAGAAAGATACTAACATTTCAATTTGCTGACAAACTATGCTGACTTACGAAATGTGATGTGACCGATGTGATAAGCATAAGTGACATGGCAGTATTAAAGGGATAGTTCACCCAAAAATGAAAATCTGTCATTAATTACTCACCCTCATGTCGTTCCAAACCCGTAAGACCTCCGTTCATCTTCGGACCACAAATTAAGATATTTTTGATGCATTCCGAGAGCTCTCTGTCCCTCCCATAGACAGCAAGGGTACTACCACGTTCAAGGCTCAGAAACGTAGCAAGGACATCGGTAAAATAATCCATGTGACGTCAGGGGTTCAACCGTAATGTTATAAAGGGTCATTGTTTATTAACTTTACAGTAAGTTATGTATTTCACAAACTAGTCAGCAACTTACCGTTAAGACAACGCTCGACTCTTGAGTCGTGAAGACACTGGCGCTGCCTGAAAAAGAGACCTCCTTAACTGAAGTGATAGGGTTGGCTTGTGTCACTCAGGGTTGCCAGGTTTTCGCAACAACACCTGCCCAATTGCTACTCAAAACTAGCCCAATCGCATTCTGGGGGTAAAATAAACGGTTTTTTTTTTTTCACAGGGTATATGTTCTGTAAAAAAATGTATCTGTTCATATCGGTGGCATATCTGCGGCATATACGCCGATGCAGGTTTATCTGCGATAGGCTCATATCGGCCGATAAAATTGGCAAAATGATAAATCAGGCGGGCTCTAGTTATTTGTTATTTTCAGGTATTGGATACATTTAGTTATTTTGGTGAAATAACATCTAAAAGTGATGTTCATCTGGCATGTATGAATTTAAACTTTTTTACACAATTGCAAATAACATTGTTTTAATGCAGTAGGTGTTAATTTGCATGGAGTATGTAAATGCATGTAGGTCTGTTACCTCAAAAGTGTCGTTTACCTACAAGATTCTGTTTTTTACTCACCGACATGTCGTTCCAAACCCTGAACAGAGAAAGGAGATTGTCCAGCTGCTTTTTTTTTCAAACGTCACGGTTTTTTAGCAGCCAGTTAAGAAAGGCAAGATTTGAGAGCTCCGGCAGAGAAACATTTTCAGTATTTAACACGTGGCCTGTTCCTCACGCATAGATATTTCACCCTCATTTTAGAATAAAAACTGCAATCATTTTTTTTTTCTGATGAAATCATTGACATCTCTTGCAGTTACTGTGGCTGACTACATATCACGAGCTGAATCTGAGAGCAGACAGAGAAACCCAAGTATATATATATATATATATATAAATTCATTAATGTTTATAGTTATTTATTTAGATACTTTACGGACGATAATGGATATTTAATCGTTTCTGCTTATTCGCAGGAGATTATGAGATTATTATACAATTCATCATTTTTTTCTATAGCAGATTTCAAAAGGAATATTTATAAATTTTTTGTGCAGTGCATTACCATGTTGTGATCAGGGTTATTATAGTTAACTACATCAACAAAAAATGATGAAAAATGGTTTGGTTAAAATTGAGAGAATTGCAAAGACATTTCTCATTTTCATTTTGTTAATGTAATGTACTAAAACTAAATTAATAATTAATAAAAACATAAAAAAAACTCTAAAGTGACAACAACAAAAAAAGCGGTCAAAATGGAAAACATAAAAGTAAGAACTAATTTAAAACGATTGTATTAAATTAGAAATAATAAATTGATTTTAAAATAATAGTACCTCAATTATACCAAAGTAACACTGGTTATAATGGCTGAATGAACTTGTAGCATATAGGCTACAAACCATTTGTTTTATTAGTTTTTAACAAAGAGGTTTAGTTTCATAATATCACTTATTTATCAATTATCTACTATAATGTTGCCTAAAATGTTATTATATTTTTTAATATTGGTGCATCTCTAAAGTTATATTGACTGGTTTCCCTCAGTCATTGAAAACCTGTAAATATTTCATAAAAAAAAAAAAAACCTTATTTAGTAATCAGCACAAACAACTAGACTAGTCGTGGAAACTCATTGGTCAAGTTGTTGTATTTAGATGAAAGCTGAGTGAAGAGCTTGGCTTTTAATCGCACCTGTTTTCTGTCGTCCGCAGGGTCAAGTGGACTTCATATCGGAGCACAGCCCGGCTGAAGCCGTGAGCAATGGCCCCACCAAAGTGGACGATCAGAGCAAAACGCCACAAGCTACCACCGACAAGACGCCCAAAGCCGAGCCAGGCGTCGTCAATGGAGTCTCCTAATCAGTTCGGTTTCTTTCTCCAAACTCACAACCTTTACGATTTTACAATAGTGCTTGTACAAGCTTGCCAAAGATAGACGTACAGACTTCCACATTCTCAATTGCACTTTTCAGTTCCTTCACTATGGAACAGATAATTACAATGGGGAAAAAAAAAAATATTGAGACAAAAAAAAAAAAAACTTATGTCACACCTGTGTTCCTGATCAGATGTTGTGCCTTCAGAGCGTAGTTTCAACATTATGTTGGCTGGCTATAGAGCAAACAAACGGAAAAAACAGCAACAACTTGTCTGAATACAGAAAGACTCCCAGACATCCTTAGCTGCTTTTTGTTACGTTTTAATATGCAACCACTTCTTCACGAGGGGTTATGGGAAAAAGAGGACGTTTTGCACTGAATAGTCATTTCTTGACCTTTAGAATAATGTTAGTCTGGAAACTGGTCTGCTAACTGTCCATTTTAAATGCTGTATGTACAACACTTCCTGAACGATTGATTGGGTTTCATCCTTTGTCTGTTGGGTTGTTGTTATGGTGGCAACTGAGACTGTTTCGCTAAAGGAGCCTTTTTTTTATTTATTTTAAAATGTACAGTATTTAAAATTAACGACGCAGTGGTTTTTAACACTAAACTGCCTGAACTTCTTAGCACGCTGATTACAAATTTGGACTACTGAAAGATCAATTTCCAGATGTTCTGTTCTGTAAACTACGTTCGTTAGTCCTTATGGGTTTTTTTTTTAAAAGATCATTCTGGTTGTTTGATGTGCAATATGTTTTGTATGCAGTTAGTTCATAAATAAACATTTGATCTTCCAGCCAGCCTTTCAAAGTTGGTGCATCCGTTGTTTTGGTCTTTTCTGTCCAAACAAGGCTCCTGAATATTTCAGCTTTTCTGTGTGGGTGCGGTCAATTTTAACGTTATTTGGTGAATTTTCACGGGCCAATTTGACAGAAAATACATTTTCAGGAATGTGACCACACGTTTAATTCTAATGCTGACTCTGGGGGGGGGGGAAGCAGGGGTAGGATTTACTTCGAAAAAGTTTTCATTTAGAAATTGCTATGACATTTCACAAATAAAAAAAAAAAAAAACATGAACATGGCTCACACTGGAACTGAATTCAGATTAAATGTGATTTTTGCTGTTCACACTGTTATAAAAGGTACTGAATCTGATATGGGGCACATTTAGCGGTGGTGTAAATTGATTCATTTGCATACAAAAGGAGATCAGATCTAGATGACAAGATAGTGTTTAATGATCACGTAAGAATTCAAGTGCATCAGACAGGGCTCTAATCTATTTCTTCATCTGTCCATCAAGTAAATCTTTAGCCTCGTTGATTTTTGCCGCCAGATATGGGGATCCTCCTGCCGAAAAGAAACAAATAACACTGACAGCTCAGAGGAATTCAAATCCTGCCGAGTTTTGTAGCTTTTGCATTTTATGAAACACTGAGTCTCACCTCGGTCAGGATGGTTTAAAATCATCAGTTTTCTGTGTGCCTCTCTGATCTTGTTTTTGTTAGCGGTAGGACTAAAGGAAAGAATGAAATTCACATGGGTCAAATTTTGTACAGTCCCTTCTATTATACTATCATTTGGATTGGATTTATTACCATGCACGTTAATGGGCTTCTGACTTAGAAAGCAGATTAAAGGCCCGTTCACACCAAGGACGATACCTATAAAGTTCCAATAATCCTTCTTGTTCTAAGAGAATAGTTAAATCCACTCCACAGCTATAACAATAAAGGCCTGTTCACACCAAGAACAAAAACTATAACGATAACTATTAGTACCCACACCAATGCATGATAACATTATTAAAAGAATGTGCTGCATGTATGTCATCTGCCGCTTTAAATGCTCAAGCTCTTTAAATCAGGTGGATTCTGATTGGCTGTCAATGTTTTTATAGTTCAGGGCAGACAACAACTGCAACATGCTCTTATAATAAACAGGAAAAAAACAGCATTTTGTGTGAATGGCTCCTAAGCAGATTTTAGAAAAGATGTGGCATAACAGGGTTGAAAAAAAACACTCAAATTGCAACTTTGTCAGCTGTACATATTCTCTGATTTCAAATTAATGAGCATTACTAATAACAACTACACTGTAATATATTCTAAACTGTTGTGTAGTGGTGGAACTAAACTTGGTGGAAATGTAAAAGCTGTAAAGTAAGATTAAGCAGATGTTTTAAATGAAATGTGAAGTAACAGGGTTGAAAAACGCTCACATTTCTAGTTTGTCAGATGTACATTACAAATTACGTTATTAGAAACTACAATACAATATTCTACATTGTTGTGTAATAGGATGGAACTTAAAGTGAAAATGTTTTGGAAATACATAAATGTGGTATCACAGGGATGAATACTCAAATTTCCACCTCGTCAGTTGTGCCTATCTGATTATAAATCAATGACCTTTATTAAAAACAGCTATGTATAAAATATTCTACACTGTTGTGTAACAGGGTGGACCAAAATATGTTGGAAATGTGCATGACGTAAATTAAGAAATAAATCATGAAAAGTGGAATAACAGGGTTGAAGAAACATTTACATTTCTTCTTTGACAGTTATACATATTCCTTAAATACAAATTAATGACTGTTATTGAAAACAACTACACTGTAATAAATTGTGTAACACGATGAAACTTACAATATTCCCTGATTACAATTAAAAACCACCGCACTGTAAAAAGAAACATTTACATTTCTTCTTTGACAGTTATACATATTCCTTAAATACAAATTAATGACTGTTATTGAAAACAACTACACTGTAATAAACACTGTTGTGTAACAGGATGGAGCCTAACATGGTGGAAATGTAAATGATATAAAGTAAGATTAAACAGATTGTAGATAGAAATTATGAAATGTGGAATAACAGGTTTGAAGAAACACTCAAATTTCTACTTCGACAGTTGGACATATTCCTTGATTACAAATTAATGACTGTTAATAAAATCAACTACATCGTAATATACGCTATTGTGTAACACGATGAAACTTACAATATTCCCTGATTACAATTAAAAACCACCGCACTGTAATATATCTTAGCGTGTTGTGTAACAGATTGGAACCTAACATGGTGCAAATATAAGTGATGTAAAATAAGGTTAAGCAGATTTTAGATATGAATTATAAAATGTGGAACAACAGGGTTAAAAAAAAACATCAACCTCACAGTAATATATTTTACACTGTGTCTACACTGGATGCAAATGTCGCGGTGCGACAAAATACAATAGAATCCATTATAATCAGTGATGCCGTCTACACTGGATGCGGCGCGACACGACAAATCCCCGACAGTAAACTAATGCTGCGTTCAATTTATGACGTACTGACACAAAGTTCAAATGATTTTTAACTGCCGTTTTGTCATGTCCAGTGTAGACAGACTTTAGCTGTTGCGTCCGGTGTAGACACGGTGTTAAGAGTGTTGTGTAATAGGATGGAACCTAACATGGTGGAAAAGTAAAATTAAGCACATTTTACATTTGAATTATGAAATGTAGAATAACGGTTGAAAAAAAAAAACCCAACCACACTGTAATATATTTTAGAGTGTTGTGTAACAGGGTGGAATCTAACAGGAAACAATGAAGATGGTGTAAAATAAACAGCTGTAGTTCTGTGATGTGTCAGGGTTAATTGATATCCCTTTAAATTCAGACTAACAGTGGAAATTTTCAGTGAAACAAAGTACATATTAACAGGGTGGAAAACAGGAATAGGGATCTAAAAAAATTTTTATACATTATATCTATTTTTATTATATATTAAAACACATGTATCCTCTGATAACACAGTGATTATAATGTATTAAATATGTGTATTATTTTGCGCAAATATAGGCTATATGTAAACTTAAAATGAGCAGTTTTAGAGTATAACAAGATATTTTTCTCATTGACAAATACATCATTCGTGAAAACAGACTACCTGATGCCAAGAATAAGCGAAGCTTCTCTCTTGGCCATCTTTGGTTCAAAACCACCTCTGTAGTATCCGCTACCAAAAGCCTGTCACACATATATAATTTGCGTTTGTTAAAATACAATTGTATGAGTTTATTGGGATAAAATATGGATTATATGATATGAAAAATATAACTTGCAGATGTGGATGCTTCCAGAGCTTGTTTCACTTGTGGCTCCATATGCTTCATAGCTTGCATTGCATAGCGACCTGTAAAAATGGAAAAAATTAGAAAACAATCAGGCTTAATTAATCAACGGATGGAAATGTATCATGTTCCTGTGCAGATTTCTCATATTTTGTTGGAATCATACCTGCAAACCCTGCTGCTGCCAGGGTAAGGCCCACGGCCACCATGGTACTAGCCTAAAACACATACAACAATAATCCTTGATTGTGCAATTTGCATTAATTGAGAGGCAATTTGCATTATTGAATGCAACCACGCATCAAGACACGTCAATCACAACAGATCCCTTACAGACTATTTCTCATCCACTGCATTGATTACATGTATCATAATCATATCTCACAGTTCTCACAATTTACAGACAAGGCAGACAATATTAACTCATATCCAGATTGCAAAAGTTTCACTTGAAGCTTCATGTTTTATATTGTGAAGATGACATATAAATAAACATAAAAAAACAGGTTTTGAACGTATGTCAAAATGCATTTATATGTCAAATATCTACAAACGCGAATGATTTGTTTAGACAGTCAGTCAGTAACAGCACTGAAAGTCACTATCAGTTAGCAATGTGCTAATGCTACATCTAATTTGCTTCTAAATTACTTAATAAAAGCGATAAAATCCCGTCAGACTGTGTTAAAGTGAAGGAGGGATTACTTACCATTTCCTCTGCTAAGATCCTGTGTTGCGATCGTCTGTAATCATAACTTCAATCACTACTGACTGCTAATGTCAGATTCATGTGTCGTTATGCTGGCTTCTGAACTTCAGAGAGCGACCTGCCGCAAAACGAGACAGCACGTCGCAACGCCCGAACTGACGTCGTAAATAGTCAGTTGCAAAGTAGGTACAAGTTTTTTAGAGCGTCTTGGTTTGATGCTGTGCAGAAGTGTAAGGTAACCATAGTAACAGTCGTCGTAAATAGTCAGTTGCAAAGTAGGTACAAGTTTTTTAGAGCTTCTTGGTTTGATGCTGTGCAGAAGTGTAAGGTAACCATAGTAACAGTAAAAAAAATTATTCTTCTTCTTCTTTTAAATTTAATGGCGGTTGGCAAACCAACTTAAATGGTGCATTCCCGCCACCTACTGGATAGGAGTGTGGAGCGCATAATGATTGGAAGTTTGAGAACTATAACCAAAAACAAAAAAAACAAACAAAAATACAACGCCAATTATTCCCGCTTTATTTACTACAACTGTATCCTAAATTCTATTGATCAGTCTTGTTTCTTTTAAGAAAATAATTAATTCATGAAATATTCTTGATTGCTTTGGGCCATTTCCTAACAGAACCTGAAGTGACAAATTATTTATTCCGAATGATCCTAAAGCTTGAATTAGTTGAAATCTTGCTCCTTCATATGCAACACACTCTATAAGTACATGTTCTACTGATTCTGCATGACCACATTTGTCACACTTTCCAGTTTCATGCTTCCCCATTCTATACAGACACTGATTTAACAGACAATGTCCAATACGCATTCTTGACATTAAAACGTCTTCTTTCCTGTTGCCAAACTTTCTTCTTTCTTGACCTACTTTCTCTTGAACATGATGAAAGTGTCTACCTTTTGTTCCACTATCCCACTCCCTTTTATGCCATATCTATGACTTAGTATCTCATAATTTTTACTTTTTAATCTCAAAATTCTGACTTTGATTTTTGTCATAATTGTTTTTGTTGTCATAATTTCATTTTTCACCATAATTATGGCTTAATATGTCTTCGTTTTGACTTTGTATTTCAATCATGAGTCATAAATTTGGCCTTTTATGCCATATCTATGACTTAGTATCTCATAATTTTTACTTTTTAATCTCAAAATTCTGACTTTGATTTTTGTCATAATTGTTTTTGTTGTCATAATTTCATTTTTCACCATAATTTTGGCTTAATATGTTTTCATTTTGACTTTTTATTTCAATCATGACTCATAATTTTGGCCTTTTATGCCATATCTATGACTTAGTATCTCATAATTTTTACTTTTTAATCTCAAAATTCTGACTTTGATTTTTGTCATAATTGTTTTTGTTGTCATAATTTCATTTTTCACCATAATTTTGGCTTAATATGTTTTCATTTTGACTTTTTATTTCAATCATGACTCATAATTTTGGCCTTTTATGCCATATCTATGACTTAGTATCTCATAATTTTTACTTTTTAATCTCAAAATTCTGACTTTCATTTTTGTCATAATTGTTTTTGTTGTCATAATTTCATTTTTCACCATAATTTTGGCTTAATATGTCTTCGTTTTGACTTTGTATTTAAATCATGACTCATAATTTTGGCCTTTTATGCCATATCTATGACTTAGTATCTCATAATTTTTACTTTTTAATATCAAAATTCTGACTTTAATTTATGCCGTAATTTTTTCTGTCTTAATTTTGCCATACTTATGGCTTAGTATGTCATACTGTTCACTTTTTATCTCACAGTCATGGTTTCATAATCATTATGATTTATCAAACCACGATTTTTTTTCGTCTGTGGCTGAAACGTGCTTCCACAGATAATAGAATTCAATTTCAAATTGTTCCTGGAAATGAATAACTCTGGCAAGTTTACCCCGGCTGACTTCAGACTCTCAGAAAACACAAGACAAAACGCAGAGGGTTCTTCCCATCGGGATGGATTTCACTCCAGCAACAGAATGAACGGTTGAAGGTCCTAATTATTGCCCCCGTCATTTGCATAAGTACAGTGCTTTTTCTCCAGCAAAGGACAGTATAGAAATTGTAAATTGTAGTGGATGGGGCCGCAGTCAGCGAAAGTCACGTCTAATGACAAACGCGTCCCCTGCAAGCCCCTGGCACGCCGGCTGGAGCTTCAAAAGGATCCAACGGCGTGCGAAAAATTAGAGTTTTGCCCCCAAATCATATTGAATTACAGTGGCGGGTGCATGCATCTCCACACAAAAAACCCAGAGGAAGCAGCCATTTCTGTTGGTTTTATTAAACCAACCAAGCAATTTAATTCTTTTGTTCAGGAGAGTTCTACTTCATTGATTAACAAAAGCAGGGATATAATTTTTTTCAGCCTATTTCAAAAGCCTGAAATGTCAAGCCTTTTAAAGGAGATTATTCTGCCTGTGTGCAGTGAAGGCAGCCAGCATAACCTTTTGTCTACAATTAAACATTCCAGCATAAATATAAAAGAAAATCAGAGATGGGGAAGATTGACTCAGGAGAGATTGTGAGGTAGATCCTCACACTGATAGTGCAAACAGCTTGCTTCTAATTAAATATGCCACCGAGTCTCAAAGCATTTGCTTTCTGCCGCAGAGAGAGGAAGCTGCTGAGAATGTGAGGAAGAAATGTATTGCCCCATCTCTCCGGCCGCAGGCTTCCTTTGGGCATCTCAAGGTATTTGGGGATCTTTTTGTGTGTGTGTTGTTTGTTTGTTTGGATAATTATTTGCTTTAATATCAAAGGCTATTCCTGCCAGGAGCCGCCTGAATGGAGTGCAAATCAAAAGTTCTAGGCTTGTTTATGATGCACACTTTGATAATTGGGCTTGACAATGTGACTTTGGGGATGTGAGGTGTTTATTTGCCATTTGCTCAAGGCTCTTGCTGTGGGGAGTTTTTCTGTTTGCACGCGTGTTTACCTGTGGAAGTTTGGTGATGGGGTTTATTAACCCTCAAATCACAGATAGTTATTCGGATGAGAATTTAGATCCGGTTTGGAGTAAAGTGAGGTTTAGATTTCCGCATATTTGGTTCTCAGCCAGAATGGCCGTTTTTGGGTGCACAATTAGAATATTTATATTTTAACATCATTGTGTAATAATATTTCAGCTTTGCAAGAAATGCAAGAGACTAAACTTGATTTAGTTTAAAGGGTTGTTTGTTGCTCAACTCTTTGTGTTTGAAATATGTTTGTTGAAGATTAAGCATTGTTCTGATGCCTTATGATACAAACATAATTAATATCTTAAATGTTACAAATGTAGTTAATGAAGGAATCACACAATTTAGTCTTTATTTACATTATTACACAGTGATATCTTCAAAAAATATAGCTTTGCTTTTTTACAAGTGAAAAAAGAGATGCAAACTAGAGATGAACAGGTCACAAACTATATATATATATATATATATATATATATATGATGAACAGGTCACAAACTATATATATATATATATATATATATATACATGCATACAGAGAGAGAGATGGATAGATGGATAGATAGATAGATAGATAGATAGATAGACAGATACTGTAGTTTCATACTTGTAAACAGTCAGAATATCTATAAAATGTAAAATTTTAAAATATTAGAAATAGTTGTAGATAAAGTATGTCAAAATATCTATCATCTATCTATCTATCTATCTATCTATCTATCTAAACACATTTCTCTGTGTATATGCATGTGTATATATTTAATTGTATATTTTTATAAATATTTTGAAATTATCTACAAGTATGACACTATGTATGTATAGTTTATGAAACAGTTTACATGTGAGTTATTTTAAAATATTACCTGCGTCCTGAAATTTGAAGGTATAAAGTTATAAATAAAGAAAGAAAAAATATAGATAAAAATAAATTAAAAATAAACTGACTGCAAATTTGGTCAAAGCCACAGAACATTGCCTTAAGATGTGAGGTTTAGACCATTATTTGTTAAAATTAGAAGTGATAATTTTTCTGAAGACAGTGCAGGAAGAAGTCAAACACACCTCACCGTCTGCATTTATGGGTATTATAGATTTGGAGAGTCTCTCTTCAAACAGATAATGGCTGCACTCCAGGTCATGAGAAACTCACACACACGTCAGGCTCACATTATGCTGAATTTTACTTACAAGACTGCCACGTGTGCGAAAAGGAAACAAGAAATAGTCGAATCAAATTGGCAGATTTCTCCGCAGCAGCGTAATGTGCTTCAATAATCCCTTTATCAAATACTACGATTAAGTGCTTTCACTGGAAGCTGGCTGAAAAAAATGACTTGACAGGATATGTAAATATATTTAAGGTCACTCTATCACCTAGTTTAATTTTATATTAGAAGTGCAGCTTTTTTAATCTTAAGAGACAAAATGACTGAGATTTCAAATGTGTGACCCTTAATTCACATATTTGTGCAGTTTTTCAGGTTTTGTGAGGGATTCTCTTCAGCATGTCATTTTTAGAACTGCTAAATCAAACCCATTAATATTCTGAATCTGATTAATGAGATGTATGCTTTTGTGTTAAACAAACTTTGTATCATATCAGATTTCTAAGTTAGCCAGTGTGTCAGTAGATGATAATTTCACATATCATACATATAACCATACATGCAAACAAAACTCCCTAAAACTGAAAGTTAGTCAGTGATCAGTGAGTACCTAGAACAAAGATTTTTTTCTTTTTTCTTTTATAAAGGTCATTTTTATGAACTTTTGAGGCTAGCTAGCCAAAAATGAGTATAAGGACATTAACCCTTGTAACCCATGTTACAACAAAGATAAACATGAGACGGTATGATTTTTAAAAGCAACAATAAAAAATAAAAAAAAACTTTTCTTTTTTAAAGGGGTCATATGATGCGATTTCAAGTTTTCCTTTCTCTTTGGAGTGTTACAAGCTCTTGGTGCATAAAGAAGATCTGTAAAGTTGCAAAGACTAAAGTCTCAAATCCAAAGAGATATTCTTTATAAAAGTTAAGAGTCAGCCACACCTACCTAAAACGGCTCATTCTAACACGCCCCACATGTCTACCTCACTATGTGGGAAGATTTGCATAACGCCGCAACGCTGCCCAAATGTTCACGCAAAGAAAG